TTCATTTCCATTTGCACGAATATCTTTTTCCATCCCCTCAACTTCCAGTCTGTATGTACGTTTGGGGCTGAAGTGAGTCTCTTATAGGCAGCATCTGGACAGGGCTTTTGTTTTTGTTTTTTTAATTCCATTCAGTCACCCTATGTCTTTTGATTGAACATTTAATACGTAAAATAATTATTGAGAGATATGTACTTACTGCCATTTTGTTCATTGTTTTCTGGTTATTTTTATAGTTCTATGTTCCTTCTTCTCTTCCTCTTTTCCCTGTGACTGATGACTTTCTTTAGTGTTATGTTTTGATTCCTTTCTCTTTAATGTATCTATTACAGGTTTTGGGTTTATGGTTTCTATAAGGTTCATATATAACATCCTAAGTATATAGCAGTCTATTTTAAGTTGGTGGTTGCTTAAGTTCAAACACATTCTAAAAGCTACACATTTTATGTCTATGATGCTGTATTGTACATCTTTTTGTGAATCCCTTAATTCTTTAGATATTAGTTTCACCTTTTAACCTTTATACTAGCTTTACGATTGATCCTACTACCTTTACTATGTTATTTGCTTTTACCAGTAAAATTTTTTTCTTTCATAGGCTGTAGCCTTTCGTTTTTCACTTAAAGCATCATCTTTAGCATTTCTTCTAAGGCTGGATCAGTGGTGATGAACTCTTAATTTTTGTTTGGTAAACTATCTCTTCTTCAATTCTGAATGTTAACTGGGTATAGTATTCTTGGTTGTGGTTTTTTTTCCTTTCTACACTTTGAATATATCATGCCACTCCCTTCTGGACTGCAGGTTTCTGCTGAAAAATCAGCTGATAGCCTTATGGGGCTTCCTTTCTAAATAACTAGTGCTTTTCTCTTGATGCTTTTAAGATTCTCCATCTTTGTAATTATTATGTGTCTTGCTGTGGACTTCCCTTGGTTCATCTTGTTTGGGGTCTCTGCTTCCTGTACTTGGATGTTTGTTTCCGTCTCCAGTTTAGGGAAGTTTCTGCCCCTCTCTCTCTCTCCTCCTTCTGGGACCCCTATGATGGGAATGTTAGTATATATGCACTACTCTAGTGTATTTTTCATTTCAGTTATTGATTCTTTTTTGTATTTTCTATTTCTTTGTTGAGGTTCTGAGTTCATCCACTCTTCTCTCAAGCCTGGTGAGCATCTTTATGACTATTACTTTGAACTCTTCATCTGGAAATTCTTAATTTTTGAACAAGAGTTCCTGCATTTTCATTTTACATGGGACCCCACAAATTATGGTAGCTGGTCCTAGCTGACACTATTTGTGTACACAGGCCCTATTAGCTTCACACTGCCTATTTTCTCATGTGAGAAGGGATCCTAAAATTACCCTCCTAGTGCAGTAATGTTGAGGTTCAAATGAAAAACAGAATTAAGTTATATTTGTGGGTATCTTTGCAGCAGTTGACAAAGAAAGCAGTCCATATAGTTCTGCATCTCCTATGGCTTATCTCAGGATCAAATAAAAATAAAAGGTTATTGGTGATCCTCAAAGGGCTTTTGCCTATTTGGGCTGTATCTATCGATATTTGCTGTATCAAAAATTGGAACTGAGAAAATGTTAAACACAAAACCATGCAAGCACACATTATGGTAGACATCAGAGTGAGAATGAACAAGGCAAATGGTATCTTTGCATTATTATGAAAATAGTTTTGACCTTTTGAATCCCCTGGAATGGCCTCCTTCCCAACCTGTAGTCCTCAGATCATACTTTGAGAATTCTTAATGGAATTAGCCTTCTAGGAGCTCTAACAGGGTGATAGATATATCTCCACAGTGAATAATATTAAATATTTGCACAAGAAACTGTTCTTCTGTGAGTGAATGTCTAATCTGTAGTCACATGAGACTGTAAAAACCGTACTTATGTTCCAAACTTCTTCCGTCGGAATGTAGGCTCTGCTTAAAAAATCTGACAGTAATGCTGATAGATGAGTCCCTGAGAGAGTGGTCTTGAATACAGGATGCTGTGAATAGAGCAGTTTGCCTTTAAGCTGTGCTTGCCTTCAAATAGAATCAGTTTACTTTTGGGTGTGGAATTTTATCCTTAGATCATTTATCTAGAAACTTTATCCGTCTGGCACACAGCTGAGAACCCTGAGAGTAGGTGTTAAGAGATCTCTGTGTAGACCCAATAAATATCAAGTTGGTCCACTCAACGTTGAACTCTTAAAGTGCTAGCCGCAAGGCCTTCTCTTCCGGCCTGCTCACTTATACTTTAGATAGAGTTTAAACATTCGTAAGGAGGCAAGATAACGAGAAACAAAATGCAAGGCACAAGGCTCTCTGGGGAAAGTTCATATTAAGGATATTGTACATATCCTTAATTTGTAGGTCAGTTTGAAGCACAGTAGCCATTCTGTGCCAGGCACGGAGCTTCACCCAGTGGAGACTGGGACAAATGAGTTACCTCTCATTTGCTGGTCTCGGCAAGGTGGGGATGACAGTCCTGTGAACAAGCAGTTGCAATAGGATGTGCTACCCAAGAACAGCACTGGTAAGAATGTGATGTTAGTAATTTTAAATGATTACCTCCTCAAAGAGAGTGACTTTTAAAGTGTCTTGTTGACTGAAAGAGCCCTCAAAGGAAATAGTATTTGCAGGGGCAAGGTGGCCTGCAGGAAGTAATTCAGTGGAGGATTGCTTCGACCAGATCATAAAGGAATTTGAAAAGTGTACTGAGAGAATGGGTGACATCAAGAAGACTCGTGGCCAGCGAGATGTGGAGGTGAGGGGGCATACCAAAAGGACTCTGGCACGTTTCTGGTTTGTACAACTCCGTGGTTGGGGACAGGCAGGGGAAGATGATGAGTCTGTTTTTAAACATGCTACATTTGAGGTATTTGTGGGCCACCAGGAAGGGATATTTACAGGTACAAAAAGTAGGTAGGATGGAAACTGAAAGCTAACTGGTGTTCAGAACATTGCACTACCACGAGCAGCTGTTTAATTTGCTCGGGTAAAGGGGAAAAAATCACTTCTACGGGATTGCTTATCTCCTGAAGAGTGGATAAAGGAAGGAACATGTTTCTTCAGTGGCTTTTAATCCAGCTCACTTACATGATTTGTGCTGATCTAGTTCAGAGTTAATTTGCTCTTTTCTTATGCAGGCCTAAGAACAAGCTACGTTTGATTAATTTCAGAGGTGACATATATGCAACATGTGAAATAAAATAAAAATCACTGAATAAGACAATATACCCCCAAACTGAATAGACAAATGAATCAAATAGTTCTTTTTAAATGGTTTAACAAGTTGCTAGTTTTTTCTTTCCCACATCCCTTACCATGAAATATAAGTTTAGCTGCATGACTGCATTGAGCACAAAATCACAGCAACATCAGTCACAGAACTGGACAGCAGCATTAGAATTCAGTCTGCATGGGCAGAAGCTGGCGAAACCCAGAGGTATTTGGAAAGCTAATACAGATTAGTGGGGGGGAAACTACAGAAGCAGCCCTAATTTTATACTATAACTGCATACCCCAAATTTCCATAGACCAGTACTAGCTGCCCAGTTATTTTGATGCTGGCTTCGCTATTTAAACACTGCTGGCAGTTGTCCTGTTTCTAGGCATCTTAGTGTATTTAACTAAGTGCATAACTTAGTGTATTTAACTTAGTGTATTCCTAGGCATCTTAGCTTTGCTATTTAAACACTGCTGAGAGTTGCCCTGTTTCTAGGCATCTTAGTAATGACTATAATGTTTTCCTCTTTCTTTCCCCCCTAAATTCAATCTAATTAAGAGTTGGACCAACATTTTGAAATAGTCATTATTTCCTAAAAAAGAGCATAAAAATCTTTGGAAGCAGCCAGTTAATACGGCGATCTTCAAATGTGAGGAATCATGATCTGAGGTATAGGTGCTGACCTACACTGAAAGTCTGTGTTCACTTCATGTTGCAGTATTTGTTTAGAAAAAATGAAAGACTTAACAGTAAGCTTTACTCTCAAATTGATTAATAACTATGCTTCCAGAGTAGCTGTTAATTTAATGAACATAATGGGTACACACTGAGAATTTGCTGACCAAAGGAGCTACCTTGGAAGTAAAACAGAAAGGATAGAGGGGCACTTGAGTGGCTCAGTCAGCTGAGCATCCAACTCTTGGTTTTGGCTCAGGTCATGGTCTCAGGGTCTCAGAATCCATCCCCACTTGGGCTCCATGTTCAGCGCGGAGTCTGCTTCTCTCCCACTGCCCCCACTCTCTTAAAATAATCATTTTTTTTCTTGTTTTTAAAGAAATGAGGATTATTATTTAAAGAAATGAGGATAAAATTATTATTTTAAAGAAATAATGCCATATTAGCTAAAAGCTTGTTAGAGTCTAAACAATCTGGGATTACAAACTGATTTACAGGTCAATCCCAGCCATGAAGTTTGACTCCAAATATTCACATACCATAAGGTTTATCTATCAACCTTTCCCTCTGACTAAAGAGGAAAATGTCTGGGTTTGAATACCATGTGAATGCCTAGAAGCTCTGACACCAGGAGCAAATTATTTGTTCTCTTTGAGAGTCATATTCTTTAAACTTCCAAAACAGATCGTAAACTCTAAATTTATCATTAATAGTAACTTTCTCACTCCTAATCAACGAAACCATATTTAAAAAGTTTTCTTAATAAGTGTTTGCTGAAATTCACTGTAGGGATATAAAAATAACTATTTAATTAAGTTAATTAACTATTTACATTTTCTGTTTAATTAGTGTTTTTGAAACATAAATCCTCAGGAAGCTTGCAAGTCTACCTTTGTAGGCTGGTATAGTGCTCTGGCCTTCTAGAACATACACTCCAGGAATATCTGAAGTCTCGGAAGGGCCTGACACATTAAAATGCAAACAGATCTACAACAGGCACTTGAACACACTGGTAACACAGAATGGGCACGATCTTCCCTTTCCACTCCCAAAGCAATTCAACAAGAAAAGTGTTTGAATTGTAAAATTAAGAAAGAGATACATACTCATCATGAACAATGGTGGGGCCATCCCTTGTTAAGGCCTCTTCCTTGATGACGTTGATAAGTTCGAAAGTACTGCTGATGGGGGCATCTGGGTTAGGCCATTTGGGACACTGGAAGTGCCGAACCTCTAGGACGTAGTCATCCTATAACCAGTACAACAAGTCATAGCCCATCCGTTATTTCCTGACACCTATAATCTGGGGACTAGAACTTGCTCCTGAGAAAGTATAATTGACGAATGCCAAATACTAGGGAGAACTGACTTCCTGCCCTTAAAAAATGACCAGGTCATGATAGTAGAATCCTATTTTGTTCTGGGGACAATAACATTTTAAGTGACAATAAATTATAAGAGACTTTATATCCTATTCTATCTTATCTATACATTTAAAGGAAAAAAAGACCAAGGGTTAGATCATCATTTAAGTTATTAATATAAGACAGCTCCTCTTTCTCCCCACCCCATAATAAGTTATTACATATCAAAATGTCATTTAGTAAAAAAAAAAAAAAAAAAAAAAAAGTCTTACTATTATCATCAGTAACACATTGCAAGATTTACATTTCTGGTGGCAAAGAGAATGTTGAGCTCTGGTATATTGTTTTCATAATTAGGTCAACAGACCTATTTGTATGCATGCTCAGAGGAACTGTTACATTTCATCTACCCAGCTGGAAAAAGCAAATATTTGAAAGAAGGAAAGAGGGAAGTGTACATATTTAAAATTAAGTCACATTCAAATGCCTGGGCCTGTCTCGAGGGTGGCATGTGACTTTATTATTACTTACACATGCAGGGCCCAAGTATGTCAGTTACTGAGAAATGGAGGTTTGAGTTACCTGTGTAGCTTCAAGGATAAAGTCATGGATGATAATTTGTTCTTCATTAGAGAGGCACAGTCTGTCTTTGCTGATAAGGGTGACGGTAAAGGCCTCACAGTTCATGGATTCTTCTCGACTTGGCCAGTATACAAACTCATCTTCTGCCTATGGGAACCCCCCCAAAGAAAAAATTCTTCTGCAGTGCTGTCAAACATTTGTTTTTGAATTTTCTCGCAAATTGATGTATACTGTTTGCCATCTCCTGTACCTCCCAAGTCACCATTTCATCATGCCCAGTTCATCAAGTTCAGTGGTGATTGTAAAATATACTTGATAATAACCATTTCCTAGCACTTCCCACCTAGGGCACTGTAACAACCAAAAATGCTCCCTCTAGAGGTGATATATTAAAATTAATTGACCTAGATCCTGCTTGTTTGTTTTTTTTTGGTTTCTGAGTTTTTTTTTTTTTTTACTGTGATACATTATAGAACATTTCTCAACTGGAGTTAGTATATCATTTCATAACTGCTTAAGCAACTAAGACATCCTAGTTCTTACTTCCTATGGATTATGTAAACAGTTCTACAGTTGATTAGCATTTTGCCAAGGAATTTCATCAACATTATCTTACTTAGTTTTTACAATATACTAGTGAGGTAAGGGATTTTTATCATCTGTCTTTACAGAGGAGGACATCAAGACTCAGGGAAGTCCTTAAGTTGTCCCAAGTCACTCTGCTACTAAATGGTAAGCAACAGAACCTGTCTGGGAAGAGGTTATGCATAAATAAGCTTATGTTGGCATGAAGTACAAAGTGCTCTTTCAAAGACCAGTTAATCTATCCATGTTAGACTTCAAATGGAGATTAACATAGAAAAAGTCAGCCTTGAATCAGGCAAACTTTAAATGTTCATCTATTTTAGGATTAAAAATAAATATTCAGGCGTGGTACTTGAATTCCATCCCTGAAAACTGTGGAGGCCTAAGAAAAAGTTAAGGGGTACATATGTTGGAGATTTTGTGAGAAGTACAACGATTAGGCTAAGACCCCTGACCCCCATTGCCATGCCTCTTTTTCTCATCAGTTCAAATGGCAAACTCTACTTTGCCCAGCATTATCTATATTTTTAGGGACATGGTCCTGAAAATGCTTAGATACTACCAGTGAAGTCAGAAATAATTCTGACTAATGTTCAAAACAAAGAAGGTTTTGTTTAATCTTACATTGTTGAATCAGAAATGAGCCAACAGTCCAATAAGACTTATCACCCTTTCAAGTTTCAATATAGCTTATTGCCAACTACATTTTTATTTTTAAAGCTCAGCATAAGGGGAAACAGATTAGCAATTGGGTTTAGTCTATACAAAAGAAGTCTGTAACTGTCAGGGGTTTTAATACATTTTGTCCAAGGAAATGGAAGTAAGACCCTTTTAACAGATATTAAAGATGTAAGGTAATAATGGACAGAGCTTATACATTTATTCAATATGCACAGCTTAAGCATAGGATTTAGGACTGGATGTGATCCTGAATAAATTAATCTGGGCCTTAATTTCCATATCTGAAAAGTGGGAATAACAACATTATGTACCTCTAAGAAATTAACATGAATCATAAATTACCAAATTGGCCTAATAACTGCCAAAGGGATTTTTTTTTTTTCAAAGGGATTTTAATAATGGTGGAAGAAAGGCAAAAAACAACAACAAAAACCTTCTGAATACAGAGCGCAAACTGATCATCTTCAAAGACTATGAAAAATACATGCTGCTTAATTCAGCAGGAACTCCAGTCTTGTGGTTATCTTGCTTACAAATGTATCTGTAGATCAAAGATCCCTGTATTTTTAACAGTGCTTTCTGAGCTAGGAACCAGTGACTTTGGGCTACTCAAAGCATCACGGTCTTGTCAAGTTATAGCAGTGATAAATAATAAAGCAAACAAAGAGAATCTACATTTTCAGGAAAAATGTGCACTAATAAATCTGACTTTCAACTCCGGAGCTGAGAATGCAGACATGCAGGATTCTAGCCAGGTCTCCCTCAGCCTGAGACACTGAGATGACCTGTTCCGGGGCAGGTCAAGGTCCTCACTGTCTGCAGAGCATGTATGGACTCAGGTGGTCTAGCCTCCCCAATACAAATGAGCCCATGTGATAGATGCTTTTGGTGACCATCCTGTGTTAAGTGACAATAACAAAATAACTGACTCATCCAACAAATGAACGTTTTAACAACCCTAAGTGCCTCCAATTTCCACATGCCAAACAGAATAGACCCCTATTGCCAGCTAATTTGAAAATTTACACTCCAGTTTTTAGCTTAAGATTCTCAATTTTGTTGCCATTCTATCATACAGAAGCAGTCTTGGTATTCTGAAGCTGGAGCAAAATGCGACAAAGTGAAGAAGTTCCTACTGACTGGGCACACAGTCAAATGCATGTCATCAAGACTAGGGGTTCAATCACATGCTGTTCTTTCTTGATTAAAAAAATTCACTAATCTGATACTCATGGAAGCAACTCCTCATTGTTTTTTGTTTTCATTTTGTGGGCTTACATGTCCTCATAATAACTTCTGAACACCCAACTAATTCTGAAAGTTAAGCTTATCTTGATAAATTTGTTCACCCTTCTTTTACATAATCTCCAGATACAGCAGGGAAGGACTCAGGGGAGAGAGAGGCTATGGCTCAGTCAAGGTCTTAAAAGCACCTTTAAATTGGAACAAAATAGCCTTTCTATATTTCCTTCCCTATAATGGGTCTGCTCTGCCTGTGGAATGGGGGAGAAATGATGATACATTATTAGTACTTTTGATATAAAGTTTTTGGGGGAGGGCTAGGAAACCTTTCTCTGATGTGGGGTGGGACAAATAGCCTAGCAAAAGGATTAAAAGGTCACACAGGTTCAAATCCTGACTCTAATTATTTGTGTATATGCCCTTAGGCAAGTTACTTCCCTCAATTTTCTTAGCTATTAAATGAAATAATAGTAGTACCTGTGTCAAAGTGGTAGAGAGGATTAAATACTCAAATGTTAGCTGCTATTTTGTTTTTTACAAATGACATCCGGCAACTGAGAGGTCAGGTTAAGGTCATATGTTAAAGGAGGTGACTCAAAGGCCCTTTTCCAAAACCTTCTATTGCCTGGCCATGTACAGCATGAGAACATCAAGTAATGGAGCTGATAGGGACAGTAACTGTACTGTAAGAATACAAAAGGAACCCGGTCAGCCTTAAAGAGGAGAGAAGTCTAGATGCCCTCCCGAGCACACACAGACAGTGGAGGCCTGTGGTAAGGTATCAGAATGATTTATGCTTATGGCCTCACAGGCTCATTAATATATAGCAGATGTGCTTTGCTTACCAAGCTCTGGTTGTCTGGCAGCATGACAATGATCTGTGCATTATGATCCCAAATCATTCGCCAGAAATCTTTCGTAGTATGTGGCAGAGGATGCTGGGTTATAATAAATTCATTGCTCCTATAATAGCCCTTCAGTTAGGGAGACGGAAAATCAGCAGTTAGAAACATTTTATTCTGATGTTGTGGTAGTAAAATACGTTCATGAAATAAGACAGCATTGTTTTGACCTCACTGAAACAACTAAAAAAGGCAGTCCATACATGTGGCTAATTTTTAGAGGTATATGCTAACACATGTAGATCATTTTCTCTCCACATACAATTCCCTTCTCGTTACCCCTGCTGTTTTTACTTAACAGCAATTTCAACATTTATTCAAACATTAGATGGGTGAAATTAACAAGAAAATTAATTCCTTAACAAACACTTTTCTTAAAGTATTTCTGTACCCCCGCTGATTCGGAGTCTTTTGTTAAAGGTCTTCAGATACAGAAATCTCTCTAATTTCTATATTACACATTGAGAAATTATTTGAAAAATGAAATCAGCCACATAGGTGGTATCTGCTCTTTAGCACCTTTTAGTTTAATTGAATTTATTTATAATTAACTGTTGACTCTCACCATGATATAAGAAGCATTAATGTAATCTGTTCCTTTCATTCCAGGCAACGGTGCAAGACCCACTCGGGCACGCTCGGCTGTCGTATGGAAAAAAAAAAAAAAAAACAACACCACATTTGCCTTACTACACACACATAACCAATAATGCTTTCTGAGATTCACTTGGTGAGTAATCTATTTCCCTGGCTCCCCTTTCATTTTAAAAACTCACCTATATTTTTAACTAAGCTAAAGTGTCAGCTAAGGCAGAATGTAAATGGAATTTTGCTGCACGTTCCCAGAAGGGTAGAGGCATTACAGGAATAAAATCTTACTGTGAGAGAGGTTTTCACAGCAGATCACAAAGAGAACACTTTGTGCAGAGATGAGAGAGGATTTCAGATAATTTTTGGCCTTGGTTTGATATTCTTACAATTATACCAACACACTATACTTTTGCTCTTTTGCCATTCCTTTCCCATTTTTCTCCCCGTAACGTACTTAGAAAACAGTGGCCTTTGTCAGTAGATTCTCAGAATCTCTCCAGTGATCACCCATGCTTGTGTCTACAGCTCAGTTTCCTCTGCTAGGTCCTGAGTTATTTATACAAAAGTCCCCATCCACCCACAGTGCCCTGATCTCAATAGCCAGAAGAATGTAATAATGCATTCCAGTTGTACAGATTAATCGGAGACTCATGTTTTTCTAGGAGTATTAATGCCACAGTGAAAATGGCTTTTTTTTTTAGTTAAAATGTAGAAGGACCATAATTCTTGAATTGTGAGGTGAGCGGAAGCTAGACTTCATGTCACACTGATGCAGCAATTCGCTGGCATGGACAGCCACCCCTCCTGGTTTGATCAAACTGCCTTAATTTTCCTGGCATAACTATTCCCCTTGGTAGTTGCGGCCTCTACATAATGCATAAAATTCGGTGAAAAAATACACACTCAACCAAGTCAAACTGATTTTAAGAGCTTACATGGCACGACGGAAGAGTTTCGGTTCTTTTCTTTGTTACACTCTTTCTGAGCACTAAAGCACTCCACATACTTGGCATTACATTGTGTGACCAGCTGAAAGAAAAGCAACGTTGTAGTTTTCATTAACTAACCTTATTGTGATAATCATTTCGTAATATAAGCAAGCATCAAGTCATTACTCTCTATACCTTAAATTTACACAATGTTATATATCAGTTACATCTCAGTCAAGCTGGGAAACAACAAAACAAAGTTATAATTGATAGCATTTGCTTGATGATCTGGCAAAAGAAGGCCAATCAGTAATTGGATTACTGAGGAGCAAAAACATTTTTCTATCCTAAGGAATATATTTTTGTGTTTTAGTAGTGGTTACTTCTGTCCCATTACCGTGGTTAAGGGTAAGGTTGTCTTATTTCTACTATCAGGCCCTAGGCTTCTGATAACAGGTTCAGTGTGGGCAGTAAATACTTACTGAATTCATCTGGATTTTTCTGTTGAAAATGTCACTGCTTTTTGGAATTTGTCTTCCGTAATTTCTCACAGGCACATGAGATTCGGGTGGGTCTACACTAGAAAAGACTGCTTTATAGTCATAGGAGCTAATTACGTTTCTTGAACATAACTTACTAGGTTCTCAGTACGTTTCTGTCGAACTAAACTAACATTGTTCTAAGGCCACTATAAGTAGCCCAGTAGTTTGGTTATTCTTCCTGTTCTTGTATAGCTTGGTTGAACACTGTGTCAATCCTCGGTTTTGTTTTTTTAGCTTTCATACTACTGTCCAGGGCCTTGGGTGTAGTTTTCAAGTTTCTGATTCTTGTTTTTTTCCTTCTACTTAAGTTCTAAAAGTGGTTAGTGCCTACCAAAGAACCAATTACCTGGTTTCCAAGGGAATGAAGAGATTTCTTTTAAAAAATTCATCAAAATATGTGGAAACAAACATTGCAGAAGTAGAAAAGGCAGAATTTAAGAAATGTTGGTACTTAATTTTTTTTAAGAATTTTAAACATTTAAAATGAGACATGTCCTCATTATTAATTACCTCAAATGGTTTTTCTTAAAAGGAGAGCGAGAAATTTAAGATTGTTATGGAATGAAAATTAATTTAGCTTGTTACTTTGCTTGGCAGTCTCACTGATTCAAATGATGGTTTCACAAAGTTTTGCCATGAAAAGTATAATTGTACAGATTTACCTCATTCTTTCCATCTTGATACAAAATGAGAAATTACGTATGGGGTAATGCAAAAAAAAATTGAAAAGACTAATGAGAGACCAATAAATAAGAAAGTACTTAGTAATTGGAGGGACAGCATTTAAAGGTTAGAATAAAGGACTGAGCTTTTAATGATCTGAATTACTTTATTGTCATTATGGTCCCTTTTTTTTTTGTTTTTTTTAACCTTTCCCTCAGTTAATTCCATATAAACCTTAACTGCCTTTAAACTTCTTCATGCCCTTGTCCAAGCAAAGAAGAATCCTTTGGGAAAAGTTAACTTCTCTCTGGTATTCCTTAGTACCTCTTTTAGTTTCTAAACTGATAGTCTTTCAGATAGCTTATTTGTCGACCTACTGTCCTAAAAATAAATCATTCTTAAGGGTAAGATAAGTTAGTTCAGAAGAAGTACAGGGGTATTTTTTTGGACTAGAGTGACAGACTCCAACTTAGGGTCACTGTGGTGTTAGGATCCCAACAGTTCATACACAGGTCGAAACTTTGCTTCCCGTTAACATTTGAAGAATACAAATGGTAATCCCTTTCAGTCTATACATTCATGCCAAAAAGATATGACCCCCAAACACAAGCCGTTTCTGTACTTCTGCTTTTTTACAAAACCCAGACGTTTATTCGGAGCACTACCTTGAACTGTTTCTCCAGCCGTGTCTTTCCTCCTACTCCTGGTATGAGGATGCTGTTAACATAGCTATGCAGCTGATTAGAGGATACTTCGGTCTCCTTTCCTAGAATGGCTTCCAACAAGGCATCATGGATGAAAATGTACTGCTCCTATAAGGGACAGAATGAGGAGAGCTGGTAAGGAGTAGCCACTTCTATCCAAGTCATGAAGCTGACCTCCGATCAACTCTTCTCACAGGGACTTCCCTGTGAGCTCCTGCAAGCATTTACAGCCAGGTGCCTTGCTCCCATACTCACCGGTTTATCCTTGTAACTTATTTTAGGGTCAGGCCTGTGTTTTCCATACCACGCCCCAAGCAGTAGGTTCAGTGCAGCAAGCCGTGGAGAAATGTGGTTAACAAAGGTCTTTAGAAACCCTTCAACTTTTCAGGCCCGACACCAAATATTTAACTCCCCATGGCCTCAAACACAGCACTAGATGCAGCTGTATCTTGCTTCCTAAGTGTTGGTGTCGTGACTGAGGAATCACACGTAAGATGCACACAGACATGGGAAACTGGGAGTCAAAGAACAGTCTCATGGTCGGCATAGCTTCTGGTACAAACCTGTGCGTTCCTTTGGGCCCTACAAGAGTGAATTTTCTCCTCAGTACCATTCAACTTCCATTTAAAGCACGTGCTAGAACCTCTTGCGAGCAACTGCGGGCACTCACCTCAGTCTGGACGAGGTAGTTACGCTGTGTCCTGATGTGCTTCAGGAATCCCAGGACGTTTACTGTGCTTTTGTCCTTTATCTGTTGCAGCATGCTGTCTATTACAATGTAGGTGCCGGTCCTGCCCACACCAGCGCTGGAAGAAAGGAAGACACTCAGCCATTAACTGCAGACGGCAGAAATTACCGTCTCAGTAGCAAATGAGCTTAAAAATAACCTTGTTGTTTAGATAACCTAGTAGAGAGTTGACACAGGTCATTCATTGTGGACAGCATCCAAAAACTTCATTAGGGAGTTTCCCATGAGTCTTGACGGAGAGCAAAGACAGCCTTTCATAAATACCACAGGAGCTGGGGTAAAATGTCGCGTATGTATTTGCTTTCTCAGTCTCGCTTGCTGCTCAAGCCAAGGATGGAAGTCAGTGACGCAAGGGACGGACAGCAGCCCTTCTTGGCAGAGGCATCCCCCCACCAGAACCCCATGTGCCGAGAACCCAGGTAGGGAGTTTGTGTCCTTGATGCCTAAGTCTGTGCCTGGTTCTCCAACTTCCTCTGATTCTGGAAGCACCCGTTATCCTTTTGGTAAGTCCCCTTTCTGCATGCCTCCCTAGTCTGTTCACTATTAGAAAGTTCTTACCCAAAGGGGTGCCTTCCTTTAGTCAGCCCCATATGGAATCAGAATGGCATGCCTGCAAAATCTGGCCTCTTTTATTCACGCTTCCTCATTGTTAAACAAACCAACACAAAACTAAAAAACAACAGTCAGGAAGATGGGCATTCTGCAGTACCCCCGGCAGGTTCCCCACCTCCCAGGACTACTCCATTGATACCCCAGCTCTTTGACAGACTTGCATGTCTATTTTAGCGATTCCTCAATGGGTTAGCAAGAAAATGTACTTTTCATGAGGCTTGAAACAGGGGCTGCATTCCAACATCTGCCAAGGACTTGCTTTGTGATCACGTTATGAACAAGAGCCCAGAAGAAATGCTTAGAAAATGCCATGCAGCTCTGCGACGTAACTCACAGAAGAGGAGGCATCTATTTGAATACCAAAGTTTAAAAAAAAAAAGCCAAGAATGCAATTACAAATGAAAGGTAATAAAAGTATTTTTAAACCACCTATTAAAGTTGTTTAAGGTAGTTAAGGGAAAAAAGGCTTTCTCAGTGCTCTGAAAAAGGTCTTTCTTAGAGCATGTATCAATTAAAAAATTAAAGATCTTTTCACTCCTACAATGAATTTTATTATTTAGAGGAACCCTACAGAAAAGCCATATACAAAACCTCAACCTCTCCAGTGTAGAAAGCCCTGGACTTGTGTTTAAGGTCAGATTTCCATGTAATAGGAGCAGCTTCAAGATTCCCTGTAAACAATGGGGATTTTATTAATAGATGTTATTAAAAACTGGAGATTTATTCTCTAAGAGCAGATTTTGTTTTAGCCTCAGAAATAGCTGATGACTTCTGAATGTTTTGAGAATGCAGTGATTTTATAGAACCCTAACAGGCTATACTGGTCCCAGTTTTCAATGGAAGACTCTGCTTCTAAATCAAACAAAGCAGGGCCCCAGCGGTCCACATCCTCCCACTCTGCCCACTTCAGATGTTGAATCCCAGGCACAAAAGGGAGAAAGATGTTGGCCCCACCTGCAGTGCACCAACACAGGGCCCATTTCTGGTGTCCGGGCTGCCGAGGATCTCCTCACGAAGGTCAGGACGGGGAGGGCATACTCAGGAACTCCCATGTCAGGCCACTGAGTGTAGTGATACTGGATCACGACCCTTTCATTCTGACGACCCTTGGGATTTCCTTTCTGACCCTAGGAGAAAGGTGAAAAGAGAGGTCTTTAAGCAGACAGCGGGCATTCTGGATTTAAAAAAAACAACAAAAACAAAAAAAACATAAGGATGTATGAAACATGACCTTCCATTTCATGTGCCCTAACTACTGTTCCTAAGCTAGGTACTTTCCCCTTGGCGGCCGTCTCATGCACTCTGTAATTTGCCTACACAAGCCTTCATGATCTGACTTCCTGTCCCGACTCCAGAAGGCCGTGGTCCCTTCGCTCTCATCTGACTGTGGGCCATGACTCCCATCCTTTCTCTGCTGTCTGGGTTGGACCTTTCGGATCCGGAGTGCTGGGTGCTGCTATACTCCAGGAAGTGATTCTCAGGCTCCAACATCAATAATGAATTTATCTGTCACTCTCATGAATGAATTTTCCAGAGTAGTTTTCCTTTTAAGTGGCTGAGCTTTTTACATTTTAACCACTTTGAATGAAAAATTTTCCCAAACAGGTAACTTGCTGTTGTAGGTTTTTCTTATAACTGATAAACTTGTAAATGTCTTAAAAAAAAATTTTTTTTTTTTGATGCCTCAAGGTCATTAATCAGCTGGAGCATTTAAGGTGTTCGGCCCTCGGCTCCAGAAGCCTTATGGCTTTGATTTCTGAAATCTTCCTTTAACTCTCATTTTCCTATTTCTTCCTCTTTCAGTTACTACTTTTTCCTCTTGCACAGAACACCTAAAGTTCCTATTTGACTTCCGTCCTCCAACTTGAGTGGTTTGTAAAATAATAAGTGGGCGATGTTTAAATACCTGAAGGGTTTCCATGAGCAATGGGCTTTGTAAACATAAACTGATTATTGGTTAGTTTAAGCCAGCTAACAGCTCTCTTAGAACACAGATGAACATAGTGCTACTTGACTTTTATATACTTCTGCCATTCTAGGAAAAAAAACTAAACATAGAAAAAGATTGTAAACCTTGGATCACAGATGGGTTTTGGAGCCAATGAAATTGTATATAAAAATTGGACTAAATGTGAACTCTTCTGGGGCAGGGGAGCTGTAGTTTGATCACATTCCCAAAGATGGCCAAGACTTAGAAAAAAAAAATTACATCCATTGCTACAAACAACTGCCATTCCTAAGTCTCTCTAGAGCAATTACTTTACATTTTCTTAATGAACATCTACCTAGAGTTTCTAGTAATGCTGTCATGGTCCATGAATCTCGATGGAACAGCAGATTTTGAACAAAAGAAATTGAGATAACTTGAAAGCAGCATTTTCCACAAGGTGTGGAAATTGGATGTTAACAGTTGTATAGGAAAGGGTTATGTTGAGTTGCATTAGGAAACACTAGGCAAATAAAATTGAAAGAGGGTTTCTTAACTAGCGCTCTGGCCACTTGTGTAAATTGTACGTATTTCTAAAGAGGAATACATATTATGTAGCATTCATGTTCCATACTTATTAAGTAGTAGAATCTCCTTTTTGCAAGCATCTTGCAGGGTTAGCATTCCTTGGAACACAGTTTGGGAAAATAATCCTTGAAAACTGTCAGAAGGTTGCTGTTGAAAAGCTAAATCCACAAACAGGTGCTGCTGTAGTTGCCGGTCACCGAGACCTGGAAGTACGCCCTCCCCTCCTTTTTTTAAATGAAGCTGTCATGAGGAGGTTAAAGAATTTAATCAGGCCAGTTAAATTCTATTATGTGTTCTGCCAGTATCTTTCACAGCATACATTGATGTCAATCAAAGGAGTTGTGAAAAAATGTTTTTTAAAAATACTTTTTTAAAGCCAAGTTGGTTCTGAGAATTGGCCTTGGTTGTACAGTAATTTTCATACAAGTTTAAAGAGAGATGCCCTGGCAGCCCACCCATATTCCTTCAATACCTTTTTCACTTTTGTATTTCTGACTGAAAAACGACGAACAGTGTAGCAGGCGTGTACTTTTGTGCTCTTCAGTGTGACAATAATGTTTCCATACTCCTCACTATTCTCTGTTGGCCAATACTGATCACATTTTCGCTGCAAAAAAGGAAAAAGTTGTCAGTTCCCACTGCAATTTATGCCACAGTTGTACTGTTGGTAATGTGATTTCCAGCGTCTTTAAAACAGGTAATATCACCATATAGTTGAACTGAAAAAGGAACATAAGGGCCCAATGGCTTAGAGGTAGACATACCTCTGAAGAGGTTAACCTCGGGACAACCTTGGGCAAGATCATTTGTGAAATGGGTCTCGTATTCATGATCATCTTTGAACAGACAATGTACTTTAAAGAGGGCCTCAGAAAGAAACCTGTATTTGGCCTATAAGCAATAAGGGCTGGCTATGTTAGGAGGCTGGGCTGCCTTCTGAGTTGCAAGAGAATCTTATAACAGTGAAAAATCTTCATTTTACCTCTTGGGTCACCAAAGGTGAAACAGGGACTCCACAGTCAAGGTGAAGCTGTAGTGATTCTGAGTAATGAATCTGAGACTTAGCCTTTATTCCAGGCTAAATCAGCATCATGTAATATAAACTCCTAATCTACTAACTCTAAAATATTAATCTTAAAAAAAGGTTCTCTTAATGATGGTCAAGGTGTTTCAACAGTGTTTCTGCTTGCCCCCCCCCAACTATCAGTAGTTCCCCCACTACACTACGTTTCTGCCAACTTCCCTGTTTGTTGTGCTTTCTGTCCTCTTAGAAGGTCCTTCTGTAACTCCTTCTCCTCCCTCATTGTTCACAGTTCACCTCACCTATTAGCGCCTTTACAAAATCTCAGTCCTAGAGGAGTATCCATCCCTTTTACAGCATCCACATTCTAATACTCTATTCGTCCCTCTTGCCCCATTTAATTCCCTCTTGTGGGCGCTCAGCTCTTTCCCACCAGACCACAAGCAAGGCAGGGGCAAGAGAGGATGCTTTTTATCTCCTTAACTCTTTATACCTGGTCAAGTTCCTACCCTACAGCAGCTGCTCCATAAAGAGGTTTTGAATGAAGGTACATGATTAAGATATTAAGCCAAGAGGCTCTTACTCTTCCTTTTTCCACAAGATTCGTAATCATGATAATGATTCCAGTGTTTTGTTCCCAAATCATCCTCCAGAAATCTTCAAATGTAGACTTTAAAGGTCCCTGGGTGGCGATATAGGCTTTCGCTTTGTTGTAACCCTTCAAAGATGACACAGCACAAAGTAAGATGAAAGCAGTATCACAGACCAGTTAATAATTCAAGTGCCTGCCATTTGACTAGGCTGTGTTTTTAGGAAAAGTTCTGTGCAGTATTAAAACACGTTCAACAGTCTCTGTGGCACTGTTCAATTATGAGAAACAGGTTTATAAAACATTTCTGACTTACATCGACGTAGTTTGCATTAATGTAGTCACTGTGCTTAGAGTCTTTTCCTGGTAAAGGTCTTAACTTCACCCTACTGTGATCATCTATAGAGGATTAAAAAAAAAAAAAAGCAAAAACAAAATGTGTAATTCAAAAACTACCAGCATTCTAAAGCAGAAAACAAGGCAAATCGGCAATGTGGCATCTCCCAGAGTACCCCAAAAAAACTTTTGGCAGAACAACAGTGAAAAATTTAAAGATACAGCATTGAAACCCATCTTAAAAACACAGGGACATTTCTACATCATGCTCTGACCTGTGAGTGCCCAAGATATGCAAACTGAAGTCCTTATTAGTTCATGTAAAATGATTTCAAGTTGCAACCCTCCAAAGTGTCCTTGTCCTGGATTTTAAAACCAAGGCCTTTGATTACCCATGGCTGTGTCCCTTTTCCATTAATACAAATGTACAAAGGTGATTGTTACATTAGGTCCAGAACAACATCTCCTTGTTAAACGTCTATTTTCGGGAGATTCCTTTGCTGAATTCAGTTAGACTCCCTTCTACCCTAATATAACCGAAGTAATTGAGGAAACCAGAGCTGTTCCTGAGAGTAATCTCCTTGCAGGAATCTGGTGAATGATCAGATTCTAGGATCCACTCAACCTCAGCTTATGAACACAAAAGTGGGATATGTGTCTCTTGTTGCCCAGCAAAATGAACTTGAATTTTTAGGACAGCAAATGAAATAAAAAGAAGTGAAGGTCATAATTTTATTCCCTCTAGCTAGGAACAAAAAGGGCAAAAGTAAATTTACATTTCTGGTTATAATCATAAAAGTCCAGTTCAAGAAGAAGTCCAAAGAGTGGTTTAGCCTAGACATTAATGACCTCAGACTATTTATCAAGCACTTTTTGAAAGCCCTCTCCAGTCTTGTGACTGTGAGTTTTGTTTGTTGTTCTGACAAACTCTCAGACTACACTTGCTATGCAGAAGGGCTGCCCGCTAGAAATAGGCTCCAAATGACAATTTCCCCCCAAGTTATCAGAATACAAACCACTATGCCTTAGCTCAGTAGCACTATATTGCATATTATTTTTCAGAATGACAAATAAGAATACATGTTCTTCAAGTTGCAAAATCCATATTTAATCTAAAAGGTAACAGCCTCTCTAAATAGATCAGTACAGGAGATGGTACAGTAGCACCATACTTGAAAGTTGTAATGGCTCTGTGAGAGAAGGCTTTTCATACATTTTATTTCCTGCACAGTAAGTTGTTTCATGACATTTCCATCCTGGTTTTTGCTATACTAAGCCCTATTATGGGGGTAGACCAAGATGATGGGTGATGTGTCCAGAATCTGACCAGGCATCATGAACGCCAGAATCCAACCTTCTGAACTTAGGAAAATAAAACCGCATCTAATCTGAATTTGTGAAAGTGAAACCATAAATGAACTGGTGAGAGTACAACCATATCAAACCACAGATGGCACACTTTCCAGGCAACACCATGACCCTTGGGCTATCACGCAGACACTTCTTTGATTTCCTCCCTCTTTTTTGCCACATACTTTCAGCCAAACACTGAGATCACCAGAAGGAAGGATTGCCATGGTGGAGAGGATGGTATGTGCGGATATACTCGAGGCACACATGTGTATATATCCCTGCCTGATTTACATGGTTAGAAATGAGGTATATAGATGGACAGATCCTTATGATCTCGGCAAGGTGAGCCTTGACTAGGTTGGCCAACAAATACTGTCAGAGTCCATGCGTTCAAAGACTGGAGAGAAAAGCAAAGTTTGACTCTTTCTTGTTCTTTGTTAGCTCCTCATTCTCTAATATCAGTGGAACCAATACTCTTATTCAAAAATGTCTTGTGGTTCTTTTAAAACTATAGAGTTAGAAGTGAAACTCTATTAGTAGATGACATTACCTTGTATATAAAAATTCTAAGGAATCCACAAAAAATAACTATTAGAATAAATGAGTTCAACCAAGGTTGTAGGATACGTGATCAATGTTTAAAAAAAAACAATTGTACTTCACAATGAAAGATCTCAAAATTAAGTAAACAATTCCATTTACCATAGTATCAAAAAGAATAAGATACTTAAATTTAACAAAAGAAGTGTAACACATGCAAACTATAAAACATCATTGAAAGAAATAAAAGATGACCTCAATAAATGGAAAGACATCCCATCTTCATGATGGAAGACGGTATTGTTAAGATTAATCCACAGATTCAATGCAATGCCTATCAGAATCCCAGCTACGTCTTTCACAGTAATAGAAAAGTTGATCCTAAAACTGATACGGAAACACAAGGGACCCAGAATAACCAAAACAATCTTGAAAAAGAAGAACAAAGTTGGAGCATTCACAGTTTCCGAGTTCAAAATATACTACAAAGCTATAGGCTGTCATCAAGACGAAGTGGTACTGGCCTAAGGACAGACATATAAATCAATGAAAGAGAACTAAGAGTCTAGAAATAAACCCTTACATTTATGGTCAGTTGATTTTCAATAAGGGCACTAAGACAATTCAGTGGGGGAAAGAAGAGTCTTTTCTACAAATAGTGCTACGACAACTGGCTATCAAGCAAAAGAATAAACTTGGACCCTACCTCACATATATAAGAGTTATTTGAATAAAATACCTAACTGTAAGAGCTAAAACCATAAAACTCTGACAAAAACAAAGGTGTAAATCTTCATGATCTTGGATTAGGCAGTGGTTTCTTAGATATGACACCAAAAGCACAGGCCACAAAAGAAAAATTATGTTTCACCAAAATTAAAATAATTTGTGCTTCAAAGGACACCATCAAGAAAGTGGAAAGACAACGCACAGAATGGGAGAAAATATTTGCCAAGTGTTTATCTATATAAGGGATTCATATCCAGAATGTATAAAGAACTCCTACAACTCAGCAACAAAAAGACAATGGGCAAAGAATTTGAATAGATATTTCCCCAAAGAGGATCTACAAATGGCCAATAAATACATGAAAAGATGCTCAACATTACTCATTATTAGGGAAATGCAAATTAAAATGACAATGAGATACCACTTCACACCCATTAGCAGTTATTTTATATATCTCTATCTATAGATATCTATGTCTGTCTATATATCTATAGATACAGATTATATAAAAGTAACAAGTGTTGATGAGAATATGGACACTGGGACTCTCATATATTGCTGGGGGAAATGTAAAATGGTATAGCCACTTTAGAAAACAGTATGACAGTTCTTCGAAATGTTAAACATAGAGTTACCATATGACCTAGCTATTCTACTCCTAAGTATATATCCAAGAGAATTGAAAATATATGTCTGCACAAATGTTCATAGCAGCATTATTCATAATAGCCAAAAAGTAGAAACAACCCAAATGTCCATCAAATGACGAATGAATAAACACAATGTGGCATATCCATACCATGGAGTAATTTTCAGCCATAAAAAGGAATGAAGTACTGATCTAAGCGACAACATGGCTGAATCTTGAAAACATCATGCTAAGTGGAACAGACCCAGACACAAAAGGCCACATATTCTATGATTCCATATATGGAATGTCCAGAATTGGCAAATACATAGAAATAGAAACCAGGTAAGTGGTTTCTAGGGGTTAGGGAAAAGGAGGAATTGGGAACGACTGCTAATGGGCATGGGGTTTCTTGTTGGGGTGTTGAAAATGTTCTAAAATTAGATAGTGGTGATGGTTGTACAACTGTGAGTATACTAAAAACCACTGAAATTCAGTTTATATTTAAATTCCCATTTAAATATAAATTAACTTTAAATGGGTGAATTTCATATGGTATGTGATTTTTATCTCACTAAAGCATTATAAAAAGCTTTATCTACAGTAGTGTTCACATTTAAATGGTTCGATTTAATGCACTATAAAATCCTATGGAATGTGTTCCTTACCACAGTGTATGTTAACCATAAACATGTGTGCCCCTGCCTTTAGTATCAAAGCATAGATTATCTGCCAGTGACCCAAACCCCCAATGTCTATGAGAAGTAGCACTTTAACCACAGAAGTAGTGCTCCAAGGGTATTCCCGTAAGGCTCTGTAAGAAGAATGCTTATTTGTTCGTATCCCTAACCGCCAGAGTACTCCTGACTTTGGAAAAATGGTAGAAAGGACAAAACACATGGGCCCCAAGGACTGGTGGCTCCATCCCTTACGGTATAGACCACTGAAGGTATGTTACCTAGTCTTAGAAATTCAGCTTATTGATTCCATTTTCAGTATTTCTTATTTTATTTAAAAACTTGGCTCTCCCCACTTAAAAACAATGTCAGGAGAACCACAGGACATTCAAACTTTGGTTCCCAGTGTCTGGTATGAAATCACTTCATGAGAGAACCATGAAGCTCTGAACATTTCTTTCAGTCCCACCTTATTCTTAAGCGGAGATCTGACAGCTTAATGAAAGACTCGGGGCTGTAAATGTCCCCACTTCTTCCTATCCTCTGTTGAAGATGGGCTAACGAGAGGTTAACTGGCGAATGTAATTCTTTTTGGCATTCCTGATTCGGATTGCTTGGCTTTCGGCTTATCCCCAGCATGAAGATTTAATTTCCTCACAGTTGAAGATAGTTTAAAGTTTATTACTTACATGCTAAAATGTTGATGTATCTGTTTTTGTGCTTGTTATCTGGATGATTGGAATGTTCTGCAGTGATGTTCATATCGGCCGTACAGCGTTGGACTTCCTGGTGGAAAAAAAAAACCAAGATTTCAAAGATTTTAGACACACTTTCGATGCCTAGCAAGGGTGTAGGAAGAAAGGAACTATATATATATCCAAAAGCATGAAGTATTTACTCCCTAGCCGCGGCCACCATTACCTCCCCAAACTCAATTTCAGAAGTAACTGACATATTAGTAACAAACATATAAAGGATGTGAAGAAGATAAAAGGATTTCCTTTTTTACTAATTCATCAATCATCTACTTCATTCCAGACTGTGACCTAGGCAGGGGGATTACAAAACATCATATCTCTCTTTGAATATGCCACAGCCTGATGAGGGAGAAAACATGCCAAAAGATAATGACAGTCAAATGTGATTAATAGAAAAGAGGCCTCAAGAAGCTCTGGTGGGAGCACACAGGAAGGCTTCAGGCAGCTCATTCACCTGAGTCTTAAAGGATGAACAAGAATTTTCCAGGCAGAAGTAGAGTCTCCACCATCATTTGCAATATGCGTATAGACCATATAGCTCCTTTTATAACTATCAGAGTGCAAATTGATTACCCTCTGTCCTGAAGTGACACTACCATATTTGCCCAGTGACCTGTCCTGTGTGGCTCAAATATATATAGATTTGATGAATTAGTTGTGAACTCCAGTTTCATTTAAATTCTCCTTCTTTAGCAGGCAACTCTTCAGCTACCTTTGCCACGAATGTAAACATCATCCATTAGCGTATTACAAGGTTGCTGTAAAGTCAAATTTTCCAAGAAAGTACCAGCATTAACTAATAAGGGAAGTCATTAGCAGTGCACAGCTGCTACAAAGAGCCGGAGTAAGTGACAGAAAATTATCAGGAGAAATATTTTACACATAACAGATGTAACAGAGTTTAGTTAGGTACATGCAGACTCCCCCCCGCCCCCCACGAAGGAGATGCACAGCAAGTATGGATGTTTTCCACAGCATTTACATTAGGCATAATGAAAACAAGGAACTGGTTGTCTTTTATGTTCACAAAGTACTTCCCAGTGAGGGGTCCCTCTCTTCTCTCCAAGGAGGAACTAACTCACTGTAATCAAATAATTTAAAGTCTAAAAACAAAGGGTCACTACCCATGTAAAGAGACCATACTCATGAACTCCTGATTCTTGGAAGCGGTATGTTCAGTTTTTAATAGTTGCAGACTTTCCCAGTTGTCCATTAAAAAAAAAGAAAAGAAAAAAAATCCACAGGTATTAATTCAACACACCTCTTGGGGAAAGTGTTTCACAACAATTCTTACTCTTTCGTTATGTTTACTAGATGTGATAAACTCTGCTATTTACTCTTCTAAAATGGTTTATAACCTATGGTTTTGCAAATGTTGATTTAAAGGGGCTTCAGTCTGCCTTTAGTTCCTTTTTCTAAAATGAGATAAAGGGTAGGCACAAAGTGATGAGTCTGATATCTTAACATCTCCAAAAATATAAGCAATGCTGCCTCTACTCAAAGTATTTGGGAGTACTGGCCTTTTAGAATTGCCTTGAACGCCTGAGGCATACTCTTTTGAATAGTTTCAGGGGCAGAAAACCTTCGAAAATAGATTTGTATTCTGGAAGACATTAATTCAATTTATACATAAATTCCTGAAATAAGTTGACATCCTTTTGTTTCTGGGTTTTGAAGGTCATACTTTTGGCATGGGCTGGGTTGCTAAAGCATCTTGTGTTAAGAGATTATAGCTTTTTGTCCTTTAGTTTGAAATTCACTTGGTTTATTGATTTTTCTTTTTCTTTTTTCCATCGTGTGGATCTGATCACCCTAACTATGGACTGAGCTCGGGCCTCTATTATAATATAATGCAATTGACCAAGACTGCTTGGGAGCAGCTGTCTGCACTGTTTAGAGCAGTCATTCAATATGGCCAATCAAACTCTTTATTATCTAAAACCCTGGGTCTGATCCGTTGCCTCTTATTTCACTTTTCCAATTATGTGAATGACAGAAAACAAAGAATAGTCATAAATAATGTTAAATCTGATTTTATTAGAACCCGAGGGGTTTGCCTAAGGCCTTCTGATTTTGTCTTGTGGATAATAATGTCATCTGTAATTCCTTGCAGAACTGTTTGGCTCATTTAGATGCTGATAGTATCATCTGATCCTGGAGTGGCTTCTCTCCATCAGAACTGGCATGTCCAAGTTAATGTGATTTTAATAGGTGTTAAAACCCTTTGAAGCGACACTGGCTGATGGAGTGTGTATAGCCAAGTTACCTATTTGACAGTCTGACAAACGGCTTAAGATTTAAGTTTGTCTGTATTTTACTGTCCATATAACAGAGTTGGAATTCTCAAAATGAATATCCTGAGTATCGACAGGCACAAAACCACAGAAAAAAGCCAAGTGAAAACAAGAGATGTAAAAAAAAAAAAAAAAAAAAGGTAAAACTTAAACGAAAACACCACAAGTTGATATATTCAGAATTCTCAGGAGATCGAGTGGGTGAAGTCACCTGCTGCCTGGAGTCAATGAGGTGAGAAGCTATCAAAAAGGCATGTGGAGACCTACTGTCCTACCATTCTGTGGCTCGATGTGAAATCATGATGGAATAAAAATACACCTGGAAATCTTTCAGATTACTCAGCTTCCCAAAGAAGTTGAGAAGAACACACTTTGGACCAGGTGACCAAGCATTAGACTGAGTATACAGAACATTTTCAATGTGTGAGTTCAGGGAGCCCACAGCTGTGTTACGGGGACCATGCTACCGAAGGTGATCACTTTAGGTCATCACTATGGCCTGGTGCTTGCCTTGTGTCTGACACAGAGCCGGCCCTTGCTGGGTGCCCGTGACATGCCATCTTCCTGCTTCTGCTCAGGCTACAAATTATGGCCACCCCCAACAACTTCAAATGCTGCAGCTTTGACTCTGTTATTCTCTTCCTCAGAAACCTCTGGATAGAACCCAGATTCCTTAGCCAGGCTTTCAAGGTCCCATCCTATCTTCCATCCAGCTCCCTTCCCATTCCCAGTTTTACCTCTGTGCCCTTTGAAAAGACCATAGGACTTCCTGCTTCGGGTCTATAAAGTACAATTGTTTTCTGTACACCATTTGTGAATTCTGGCTCTCTCTCTCTCTTCACTCTTCATAAAAACCTCAACTATGATTTTCTTCATGCTAAGGGTTTAAAAATGTTCTTTAAGACATTTCAGACCCTAAGTGGCATTTTGTTACAGGGACTCAGAGTCCTTTTCTGCCACCTTGCAGGCTGCAGTCTCATGCAGCATGACCACCCCCTGTCTGGCGATACCCTGTTATGTGTCACCGGCAACGCTGGAACGCTGCATCTTACATAAAGTAATTGTGGCCACTGATCCCTCGAGCGCACGGGCTCAGGTGGACAAAGCTTTGCTCTCCTGATTTAAGATGAGCAACTGGCCCAAATTTAGCTCAGCTGGAGTTAATTGTCAGCGAGGCGATTCCCCCAAAGGATCTCGTCAAGGGGTATTGGACCTCTGGCCTGGTCTCTGCACTCAGCCTTCCAACTTGTGATGCTCCTGACTGCTGCCTATTAATTCTGTTGACCCACATGGCCTTGGAATTCTCTCCTCTTGAAAGGTAATGCTAGCACTGCACCTTTGGAAGCCGCCTGGATGAGGACTGTGGAGGCCGGGGAAGAGTGAGGTTCAAGTCAGCTCAGGTAGCCAAGGGAACAGAGTCATCGAACGCCATCCTGAGACAAGGACTGATGTTATTTCCAGCGACTGCAAAATCTGCTAGAGGCATAATGTTGCCAGCTCTTAACAGTCTCCCAAGTTTATCTGACAAGGACAAAGCTGCATCACCTCTAGACAAAGACTCAGAATTACCAGTGAATCGTTTTTCTCATTCTCCTCCAAGCAGCAAAGTTCTGAAAATATGACAGCTATTCACCAATTTTTTTTTTCCCCACTTCCATCCAAGATTGTAAAACAAGATGGGGCAAAGAGAAATTCCGGTGAAATAATCAAAATTTGTAGAAGCCTTTCTTCTTCTTTGCCCTCCTCTGGAACTTTCTATCCGTATTTAGCATGTATTTTGCTCTCCACCCACACCAGACTGAACTCCTTGAGGGCAAGGTCTCAAATTCGACTCTGTACTTTGTATTATGTCCACAGAATAACAGGTACTCTGTAACTGTCAGATGAATTGCTTTTCTCTCTTCTTAATGGCCGCACATCAATAGTCAAATGGTATTTATAATCTTAAGATGAATTCTTTGACTAACTTGAGGCCTCTCTGCAGATGTTGTTTAAGATTTTTATAAGTCAGATTCTCAAACCATCCAGAAGGCTCTAGACCATAAATCATGTAATGGGCTCCCAGTACTTTTAGTGGGGTGGGGGGCCTCCTCATTTCGACTGTTCCCTTTCCTTCCCTCCCCCCTTTTTTTGCCAAGGCAATCGTTGGCTTGTCAGCTGCATGATCATTTTTAGACAGTCATTGGTAATCTCGGGTTTTTTTTTCTCCTTCTGACTCCAGGTCACCACAGGACACACTACTTTAATGACAGTCTGGAGGGCCTTGAGGTTACACATGTGAGCTTGAGTCTGAGAGCCTGGTCTTAAAACCTAACTTCTGCCATTTCAAAACTGAGCCACCCAAAGCCTCAGTTCTCCCATGGAGGAAGTTTCCTCATCTGTAAAACGGGGCCCAGAGAATAGCACCCTGTTATGGGGTAATTCTGAGGAACAAATGAAATAATCCACGTGCGGGGCTGAGTACATGCGGGCCACTGTTCTTCCACTTAAAAAGATCTGGAAATCTGGGGTTGACTTTACTACTTTCCTACCATAATGAGGGTTCTGTTTTTTCTCCCCCCCTTTTTTAAGATTTTTATTTTTAAGTGATCTCTACGCCCATCGTGGGAATCAAACCTCTACAACCCTAAGATCAAGAGTCGCACGATCCCCCGACTGAGCTGCGCAGGCATCCCAGTTTTGTTTTTCTTTAAATCTGCACAAAAATCTCTTTTCCTGACCTTCTTTTATAGCCTATTACTATCTCGTTTATAAAACAGCCTTAATAATTTCTTAAATAGCCTGCCACCAGTTGTCCTTTTTAGCAGAGCTGCCGAACACGAATACCACTACTGTTGTCAAATACTTCGAAATCTCCCTCAATGAGGACAGTATATTGAGGACTTGTTCTGCCTCACTCCTCCCTTTAGGTCGCTGCCTTATTGTTCTTTTCAGAAGAAAGGGTAGTCTTCCTATTCTGAAGAGCTCTGCTTTTCCACCTTCAGACCAGGAGGAACTGTGCAATGACAATCACAGACCAAGGCCTCCCTTGTCCCTGCCCTCCCGCACCCCTCCCTTCACCACCAGCTAGTAAGACTAAAGCTATAAAGTTCAATATAGGAGACAAAAGCTTCAAGCCACAGTATTTTTTTTTTTTTTTAAGGATAGAAATAGGGTGCAGATGCCCAGAATTTGTTAACAGGCTTGATGTTGATGTAGCAAAGCCCATTTTAAGTCAGGTCGAGTTTACAGAGGTGTAGCTGATTATTTTGAATAATTAAATGGTGTCAAAACCAGCTGTGATGAATAGCACCGGGGTCTCAAATCATAAATAATTGAGAAACTGGAGTTGCATTTGGTCATCCTGATCAAATTCTGTTCTCCAGAGGATAAATGTTTGTCCTGAATACCATCAACATTGTTAAATGCCTCAGTATTCTTGCTCAGTCATCCAGCCAACAGTCAATTGAACTAAATCACTTCAACAGCACACACATTTGCTGTCCTCATGAATACAAAATGTTTGACTTTAAACCATGTGCTTTGTACTTGAATAGGCACCTTTTTCTGGTAAGCATCTAATAGCCACATTTAAATACTTGACATGTTTTTGTTTGTCCCATGAGACATACATAGGACTCTGCCGAATAAATCAGAGGGTCCCTTCTCTCTCCCACCTCTACTTTGGTTTTGCTCAGAAAAACAAGACAAGACTTCCTTGAAAACCAGTTGTCAATATAATTGCCTTTATGATGGCCTCTGGGGACTCTGATTTTGCACAGAGACGGGGGCTTTGGGTCCCGTGTTCATTTCTCATTGTGCCTCCTTTTCCATGACATCGTTTGGTCCCCGAAACCCATTCTGTGCAGAGGTGGGCAGTTTAGCAGCATCATCGTCATTTCCATTTTAAAGGAAGAAGGAGAGAGAGAAAGGCACCGACTCACCCACAAAGCTAGAAGACAGCTGAGCTGCCATGAAAACTTGGCCTCCTCGGCACAACTCTGGCTGCCAGAGATGTGCGTTAGTTAAGCGCCTCAGTGAAGAAAAGGGCAGTCTGTTTAATAGCTCCTCATTGACACCCTGTCACTGCTGAACTGGCACGGAACCCAGAGTTGGCAGGGCGGTGCGTGCGCGCTCTACCTTGTTTCCTGCACAACGGTTCTTAAAATCACAGGGCTGCGTTAACCCACGTCTTCCCTCCAAGGATTAATAATCACGAAACCCACCACCATCCACCTTTGCAGGGCCTTAACAGGTAGCCCGGCACCTGCAAGGGCGTGCATCATTCACTTGCCCCAACTTCGGGATGTCAGTGACATGAGCGCCATTTCCAAAAACTGGGGCAGCCGGGCCACCGGAGAGCACGCGACCGGTCCGAGGATAAGGAAGCACACTGCCTCCCACGGAGCCAGCCCCAGGCCCCTCAGACTGCAAACTGGCCGTCTCCTCTACACCTCGGGCAGCCCAGAGAGGCGAGCCCTGCCCTTGGCGTGAGGACCACTGTGCCACTTAGGATGACCATGAAGACAGAACATGGGGGCTTGCCTCTTTTCCACCACTTAAGTCTGTTCTTTTCTGGAAGCGCACGTGCAGGACATGGGCAACCAACTCCCTCTCACCTAGTCTTTTGGGGGGAAAAGAATGCCTGCCAGAAGTAGAAGTGTAAAGAAAAAAGAAAAAAAAACACACAATCTCCAACTTTTTCCAGTATTGTTTTTGTTATGCTTGAATGGATTCATGTCAAGTTTATAAAAAATCCTCGTAAGAGTCAGGTTTCTGGAAATTAATCTTCAGTTTTGAAACATACCTCAAAATCCTCGGAGAACCCATGCTGGTTATTAGAATAGAGCTCACCAATGTGTTTAACAAACTGTTTGACAGGAATGGCTTCCATGTCATCTGTGGGGATAAAATGATATTCAGAGTCACACAGAATATACTTCGATAAAACAAGGAACACCGATAAGGGATTATTAAAGACAAACATTTGATTTGTATGAGGAGTAGATAGAACTGTATCACTCGAAGTAGATGTCTTCAAGAAAAGTCACAATATATTTTACTTGTCTGTCTTACTAGGATTTTGAATGCCTAGAAGCTAGGTTAAATACAGTTTTGTTTTTTTTTAAAGTACATAGGGAATTAGCTTTTTTTTAAAAAAATATTTAAGGCAGTTTACATAGTTAAATTACCACATCAGACTCTTAACTGAAAGTCTGAACTTCCTAAGGGTACCTATTTGTCAAGAAATTTTATCACAACCTGAGTTTTTTTTTTTTTTTTTTTAAATTGCTCTTCAGTGGGGTCCAGCTTGAACTTGGAGCAATGAAGTTCTATTTCCAGTCTCTGAAGTCGCAGCAATCTTTATACACAGAGAGATGCCATTGTACCAGCTGGCTTCGGGTACAATGCCATCTATGTTTAAGTGTGCAAAATTTTAGTTCAAGGCAGCTGTGTCTACACAATGCCAAATAATCAGTTTGACTGAATTAACTGGATATTTTGGGTGTTGACAGACTAGGTATAGATTCGGGAAGACTCCACATTCCAATTTATTATAGTGTTGTCACTTCAGAAGGACATTTGCAGTTCATGAGCCCAAAGTATTCGTTTTGAGCAGATTTTTCCAGCTCTGGTCCGATAGCGGAGGACTGGCCACAAAACTGCCACACCCCACTAACTGGAGCTCCCCAACCTCCTTCCCTCGACCCTCCCCTGCAAATATTTCTTTAAAAATACTCTGCTGAATTTGAGATAAACAACAGACATGACATTTACTTTATTCAGAGTGAAAGATCTTTGGCAAACGCACAAACATCTAAACTGCCGCAGATGCTTTTCTTAGCAAAGGGTATGAAGATCTGTATGTGTAAATGAGGTCCTACTTTGGCAAGAATGTTATAGATCCAGGCCTGACAATCTGATTTCTCTTCATCTGGTGACAGTTAACATTGACTATGTCATTCCTTCTCTACTTTCTTTCGAGAGAGCAAAGCTCTAGGGTGGCTTTTTGCATCTATTGACATTTTCAAACTTGAATCATTCTTAAGCGGAAAATAGCATCTCTTATACTTTGTTTAAGGAAGGTGACTTATATGTTCATAATCCAAATTGCTTAGCGCAGAAATGTTACTGATCAAATAGATGGTGCTCTATAAGCACCATTTCTTTCTGTGTGAACAATCAAAGACCTAATCATGTTAACAGGCCACCTTATGAAAAAAAAATTGCCAAGTTATTTACAAATATTTCAAGATTGAAGATGTTCATGAATATGCAATCATTTTGCACGCCCAAGAAATCTATAGCTCCCATAATGATGTAACCAGCATTAACAAAGTAAGCAGAGCCAAAACATTTCCCCAGAATATTGAGCAGAATGCACAGTTCAAGAAAAATTTCCAAAATTATCTGATCAACTTTGCCTAAAATGTTTAGAAGTCAGCAAATTCTACAATAAAGATCAAGTGACAAAGAAATGATATGAAACTGAGATAAGGATTAATATATGCAAAATTGGAGTCTTGAAAAGATTAACCCAAAGAAACTCCTCTTTGGACAACAGGCAAAATGAGAGAGATGGGACAGAACCTAGCCCTGCGAACACTCTAGTATACAGACTGCAGCATTTCCTTCCAACTTACTTAGAAACCAAAGACAATACTGTTTCCGAGCGGGACATCGTTAATAGCGCAATAGGCTGAAGGCAACATTTATCCCATGATTAACTTAGAATTGTAGAATTCCAATAAATTTATGGTGCACATGACTCTAGTTCAAAATAAGCAAACACATGCAGTTTTAGAGGTATTTTACTCTGCAAAGGCAAAAAACACGGCATTTTAAAGGTCAAAGCCTACCTCAAGTCATTAAAAAGTGTTTTCAGGGTAAACAATTCATAATTTTTTTTTCTTGCCAAGCGCTCAAGCATAACATCCAAAGTAATGCCATACATGCCCAGAAATCAGTCGGCCTGCTATCCCCCTGGCTAGATGCAGGAAAAATCCAGCAGAGCTCAGCAGGATAATCATGGAAATATATCACTCACTAGTCTCTCCAATTACCTTCTTGACCCAAGGAAGTCTAACCACACCCCTCTGGGTTTCTAGGCACGGCCAGTAACATCATAAAACTACCAGGCAGACAGGCAGACACACATGTGCTACTGACCACCACCAGCTACCCAGATCACACATTGTCTTTCAATCAAGACAAATGAAGCGGAAGGGTGACAAATCTTTTTTCTCAGTATTAAGATGAATATAAGGCTATGGCTAATTAGAAGGCCTCATAGTTATCCTCTTACATATTTCTATGAAATTTCTCACAACATGAGCCAGATAATTATAAAATTACTATTAACTAGCAGAAGGCCAAGCAATTAGGACAGCGCTGTAGACCTGATCTCGGTTTTTGTCTGGGAAGACCCTGTGGTGTTAGAGGACATCCATTGGAAAGATGTTATGTCACTTACATAATCTGTTTCATTAATGAATAACAGAGACCATTAGCATCACTAACCACGGGCCAGGCACTTTCTATGACCTTAACATGTACTCCAATCCTCCCAATAACCCTGGGAGATAGGTCCTATTTTCCTACTCATCTCACAGTTGAGAAAATAAGCTCAGAAATATTAACTGAAGGCTGGACTATGGCAGAAGCTGGTTGCAGACCCAAGGTCAAGGGAGAATGGCTGTGGTCTGGGCCACCACAGCCATTATGCGAGTACATATATAATTCCCAGACGGGAAACCACGGGATGAGGCATTTACTGAGCACCCAGGATTCAGCCAGACATCAGGGAGATGGGTCTCTGCCCAAGGGGCACATTTGTGTTGGAGAAGCGATGACTATCAGCAGGAGTGAGCAAGAATTACATGGTGAAGACTCCACATGTCACGAAAAGGAGGGATGTGATAACTCAGGTGAGAATAAATGTTACCAGCGCAGTGGTCATGAAGAAAAAATATATGAGCTTGAGTCAAAGGAAGCGGTTTTCACTAAGTACCGTTTAGATGGGAGATGGTGATGACAGAATGAAACGATCTCAAGAGAGACTCAGTAGAATGAGAAGACAATCACCATGTGTTAAGCCCTCACTGGTCATCAGGGACTGTGCTAAATGCTTTCCATACATTTAGCTTTACCAGAACGAGGTGAAGGGGACATTGTTCTCACATGACACACAAGTCAAAGGAAGCAACATGTCCAAAGCATGCCATCTGAATCCTGGTGTACTGAACATGAGGCCTGTGCTCCTCCATACCGATGCCTGATTTGTCTTCATTCTCCAAGGACAATTTCCAGGAAGAACAAGAAATTAAACAGTATCTTGGTTAATTAAACGGAGTATCTTGGATAAAATGTTCCTGTTTAATTTTGTGCCAGTATTTTTAGTTACAGAATTTTCAGATACCAAAGATTTAAATTAGGCAAAAATGAGAGCCCTGCTTTCATCCTTAAATCACCCCATTATAAGATGTTTGGTGTAGTCAGTTGAGAATCAGCACCTTCAGAGTGAGATTGTTACTCGGTATTATTTACACTTTGTTCCAAGATTTCAGCCTTTGGTGGTTGGAATTAAACTTCGTATATAAGAGGCCTTTTGTTTTGGTCAACATCCTTATGTACCACTTCTGATGGAGTCTGAAATGAGTCTCTGGTTTGTAGGTACCCAAAGAGGTGCATTCGGAGAGGGTTAACATCTACTGAGAAGAAAGTACCAAAGGTGAGAGATTCCATGGAGGTAAAAAAGAGCTTGAGATTATTAGCGTTAAATAAAGCACTGTAAGACATAAAGAATAACACACTGAACATAGAGAAAAGCTTTTCCAGAATCTGCTTATGTCTGTTGTATTTGCAATTTGGAGTAAGGTAGAGGGAAATCACCCCTATATTGGTCTATGGTTCTAACCTCTTTGTACATGCTCACTTTGCTTTCTCTTCCTCTTCAGGAATAACATAAACAGAAAAGGAAAAAATTCGCTTTCTTGTCTTTTTTGCTATTAGAAAGAAAAAAAATCAGCAGCCAAGACTGTTCTTGAACATCAACCCCAGGGAGGTGCCACAGAGGGCAGCCCGTTATGGGGCTCCGTGGTCAGGTCTTCAGCCTGTCACTCAGTAAAACTGTCTAGCTGTCATTCTTGTTACCGATGGTGGAAAGCATCCTGTGTGCCAGGCACCTAGGGGCAGTGGTGTAAGTGGAAAAGCCAGAGCCAGATGGCCTGGTGGTGCGACTTCACCTCTCTGTAATTCCCTTCCCTCATCTATAAAATGAGAATAATAATGACTTCTCATAGAGAGTTACGAAGAGTCAACAGATGACCGAAGTATTTACAAGAGTGCTTGGCATTTAGTAAATGCTTGATAACTAGGATTTATTGCTGGGTGCTAACTGCTTTACATGCGTGGCCCTGATTTGGGGCTATGATTACCCATTTTATAGATGGGGAGACTGGCTAAAAGAGACCCAAGAGCTTGGCCAAGGTCCACTGTCATTATCAGGCATGGGGCCAGGCTGACTCCAAAGCCTTATTTGACCTCTCTCTCTGTAGACCTTAAATTGAATATACGTGGTTAGAGAGGGCAGAAAACCATAATAAAATCTTTAAAAAAAAATAAAAAGCAGTATTTATTTGACAGAGAGAGAGAGAGAGAGAGAGAGCACAGAGGGAAAGGGAGAAGCAGACTCCGCATTGAGCAGAGAGCCTGATGCAGAACTTGATCCCAGGACACTGAGCTCATGACCTGAGCTGAAGGCAGACGCTTAGCCAACTGAGCCACCCAGGTGCCCCCAATAATGCTTTTTAAAGAAACTTTCTTACTTAAAAGGAATGAAATGATACACTTTAGCTTTAACAGTAAGCTTCAGTCAACCTGGAAAATTCACACTGGTA